AGTGCAGGGATACACAGGGATGGGGGAATGCAGCAGGGACAGAGGTGCCTAACAGAAGTGTGAGGTTTGGAATCAGCCGGGGTCTTCATGAAAGAGGCAACTGATCTCCCTAACAATCCCTCTCCTCCAAACCTCCCCGTTCTATATTTCTTTCCACCTATACCCAACAACCCTCCAAGTTTATGCCCAGGTGCCTTTCCAGCAATTACTTCCTTCTCCATCAGCTCTGTCATTACCCTGACTCTCCACAGCAATTTCACTGCTTCAGAGCAAAATGTAGCCATTATATTGTATCAGTTTGACAATTAAAATATTGTGCAAATAACTTTTAATTTTTTGGTGTAGAATTCCCCCAGGAGTGCCGATATGGAGCTCATTATTTGATATTCACCATTTCCCCCTCATCAGTGAACAATCTTCAAGTTGGTCTTTGATGAGTTACTGTGCTGGTGGTGTCAGGGGATGTATACTGACTGCCCAGTATGCCCCAGGAGCTGCAACACAACGTGCCACTCCCTGTTTAGGGTACAGGGCAATGCCATAAATTAGCCCACAAAGAGATTGTGTGTGTGGCTGTCAGGAGGTCATATCTGATTGGATAGCCTAGGTTTTCAAAAACCAGGTAACTGCTGTCTCACCATTGTTTTGGGATTGTTGGTAGCTATGTATCAGGCAGGCATTAATACCACTGCTGTACTTTTTTTTTTTTGCGGTGCTTCAAATCTCTTCCCAGCCCCTACTAACAACTCTGTTCCTTGCATTAATTTCTCAGGTGTGGTCAGCAGGAGATATCTGAGGAAGAGAAACTGGGGAAAAGGGGTACACTGAGGAGCCAAGGGAAGGAATCACTGAGGAGGAGAAGGAGCAAACATCCCCCCGGCCAGTCAATCAAGCTTCTGCCCCTGGTTTGAGGGGTTTTTGTGCCTTCCAGGGAATTTTACTTATTTTTCTTTGCTATCACTCTTTGAAGAAGAAATCAAACCATGATTCATCTGTAAATATCAAGCGGAATGGCAGAACCAACCCCACTTTTTATTGCTCAGTAGTTTTAGGGAAACAAACTACTTGAAATATTTATTTTTAGATGGTTGATGAGTAGTAAAATATTTTATCTATCGTACATGTAAAGGATCATCACTAAGCTTCCAAGGTACTATCCACAGAAATGGAAGACATAGCTGAAACCTCCAAGAATGTATCAGGCTCCCTACAAACACAAACAGACATCCACATTTGCATAAAAGCATTTGTATTCATGTCTACTTCACTCTGAATTACTTTTTATTTTGCTTCATTAGTGACAGAAAAATCTCCCAAATATCTTAATCCTTCTCAAATTTATATACCCTGAGTACCTCCAATTCTGCACAAGGTGTGGAAGAAAGTACAGCTGAAGATGAGTAGAGACACTATTCCTTCACAGTGCTGCTTTCCACTCCTCTGTGCTCTTAATACTACTACTTACATAGTCCTTTTGTATTTTTAGACCTCTGCAGAGACACTAACCTACTCAATTTTCGCAAGCACCTTATGGTAAGGTAGGCAAGTATTATCATTTTCATTCTACAAATGGAGGATAGAAGGCACAGACAAGTTAAGTGAGTTTCCCCAGGTGAGAGAGAAATACAGTGCCAGAGGACCTGAATCTGAACTTTGATGGGAACACAGCGCTACCAGCAAATTAACTTGCACTCAGATTTTCAAAAGTATACATGTCATTTTATATGAATCTACCTCAGGCCCTCGAAAACCATCATGCACACGCACATATCAGGCATACTATTAAAGAGCCACTGGAGCAGGGCCATAAACTTGAGTCTCAGTCCTCTCAACTGAGGGCCAAAGTATCGATCTAGAGCAGAGGTGGGCAATAAGTGGCCTGCATTCCTGGTCCAGAGATTCACTTTTTTTTATACCCATCCATACTATCCTATAGCTCAGACATCAGAGCAATATTGTATTACTGTTTACTCTCTGGCCAGTTGTGTTTAAAATAATGAATCACAATGGGTACTTAGACTGTAAGCTCTTCAGGAGAGGGGCCAGTCTTTTGTTCTGTGCTTGTTTAGCACTTGGTACAACAGGGTCTGATCCATGACTGGAAACCTAAGTGCTACAGTAATGTAAATAACAACAACTTACAAAGGTGTCTCTGTCTCCTAATTCTGTTCATAGATACTGAAACGGGTGGGAACCTAAGGCTTGGGGGCTGGATGTGGCCCCTGGCTTGTCTGAATCTGGCCCCCAAGGCTGAGGGCTCCCCTCTGCACTGGGGAGCCTGTGGGGCTGGAGCACACAAAATCTAATAGCCTGGGCTCCACTAGGCTCTGGTGTGTGAGTGGAATGTGGGGAGTGTCTTTCTCCTTCTCAGTTGGGGACCATGTCAATGAGGATTTGTTTTCTGGGGTTTTGTGCGTCTCACTTGTGTGTGGGCCCTGACTGATTTTTCTGTGGGTTAGCAGGCCCCCAAGCCCCCAAAAAGGTTCCTCATCCCTGTACTGAAGAATGAACAAAATTTCACTTATGAACTTCTATCACAGACTCTGTACAAATTCTTGTTTGGAGGCAACAGAACCAAGATTTTGTACGTAAACTTCCAATCAAAAGATATTTAGCACAGATGGGCCCATTCTAAATTTATTTTAAATGGATGCTATATCATGTTGAAACAGGCAAGGTTGAAGATATGTCTGTGGGGACATAGCTCCAGGAAAAAAAAAGTAGGGATTAGCTTGTCAATAAAGATGTAAACAGACTGCTCTGAAACTGCCGCATTTCTGACATTAGAAAGTCTTAAATGCTTTGCTGGAGAAGAGCATGTGCAATAATTGGGCAGATTGCCAGGACTGAAATCTGATCACTTCATTTTTCAAAATGCACTGTTTACCCTGGAAACCATCCCCTTAACATTACAGGTTTAAAAAAAAAATTAAAAGATTGAACATAATTTTATAATGGCAGAGACTGTAGTTAAAATTTATTGGGTAAGAGTCTATTCGATGAGGTATCATATACAGATAGCTAACCAGATTAATTTTTTCCCAAACCTTTTATATACAGGCAGTCCCCGAGTTATGCGGATCTGACTTATGTCGGATCCGCACTTACAAACGGGGCTTTCTCGCCCCGGAGGTCGAGGTGGCGGGACCACTGCGCTCTGGGTGGTCCCGCTGCCTGCGAGCTCCGGGGCGAGAAAAGCTGCTCCGGGTGCCCCTGGTCTGCTGGGGACCGTCTCCAGCAGACCAGGGACACCCGGAGCAAAGCCGGGGAGGCGGAGGGTTGCTTTTGCCCCAGCAAAGCCTCAGAGGCGCGGGATCCCTCCGCCTCCCCGGCTTTGCTCCCGGTGTCCCTGGTCTGCTGGAGACAGTCCCCAGCAGACCAGGGGCACCCGGAGCAGCTTTTCTCGCCCCGGAGGTCGAGGTGGCGGGACCACTGCGCTCTGGGTGGTCCCGCTGCCTGCGAGCTCCGGGGCGAGAAAAGCTGCTCCGGGTGCCCCTGGTCTGCTGGGGACCGTCTCCAGCAGACCAGGGACACCCGGAGCAAAGCCGGGGAGGCGGAGGGTTGCTTTTGCCCCAGCAAAGCCTCAGAGGCGCGGGATCCCTCCGCCTCCCCGGCTTTGCTCCCGGTGTCCCTGGTCTGCTGGAGACAGTCCCCAGCAGACCAGGGGCACCCGGAGCAGCTTTTCTCGCCCCGGAGGTCGAGGTGGCGGGACCACTGCGCTCTGGGTGGTCCCGCTGCCTGCGAGCTCCGGGGCGAGAAAGCCCCGTTTGTAAGTGCGGATCCGACATAAGTCAGATCCGCATAACTCGGGGACTGCCTGTACTTGAAAACTGTTATGTCCCATCTCAGGCTTCTCTTCTCCAGACTTAACAAACCCATTGTTTTCAATCTTTCCTCACAGGTCATAGTTTCTAACCCTTTATTCATTCTCCACATCTTTCTGAAATATGGCACCCAGAATTGGACATGCTACTCCAGTTGAGGCCTAATCAGCGCAGAGAAGAGTGGAAGAATTACTTCTCCATATCTTGCTTACATCACTCCAGCTGATACATCTCTGATGTTGCTGTGAAAAAAAGTATCTAACTCCATTTAGATATAACAGGCACAAAAGATATCCTAATAGGTGGAGATGTTTCTGATCTAAAAGTGTGTGTGTGTCAAAGCGTGGAAAGCCTTGCTAAGCCCATATAGTGATAATAATGCAAACAGAAAATGTATTTAGTAGGTTGGTATAAAATATATACAACAGCCATCTACCTATTTTAATTTACACTTGTAACATGACAGACATCCCCACAGCCCGGCAACATATAGGTCTCCAGAAGGCTATTAGAAAGTCTGATGCCATGTCAAGCATCATTGCAACACTGAAATATACTTGTTGACTCAAACCAAATTCAAGCAAGACCAATGCGATGCTGGTAGAAACAGATTTATTTATAGGAGCCAGCCAAAACCATCCCCCCCATCTAGGGCATTGGCCCTCCATTTCTCATGGTGGTAAACTCTGATAGGACTCTTATTCTTATAGGAGTCATCACTAGTCTTTCAACACCTATCTAACAGAAAAAATGAGGTGAAATGCCTTCTTTCTTCAGTATCTCACCAGGAGTAAATTCCTCCCTCTAGGTATCAGATTGTAATAACTGCTGCCATTTCTATCATTGAGGAGTTTCCTATTGGTTTCAGTAATATTCCCAACATATCAATCACAATATTTAAACCCTCCTCTTCACTGTGCCTGGGATTAACAACTACCTTATTCATGCAAAATCCAAGCTCAGATTTACACATGTGCACTTAATTCCTTTTTTTAAGGTTTTTTTTTTGTACCTCCAAAGCACAGTTTAATCCAATGCTCTATTCAAAGAAATTATTTCTGATAAGCATTCTTACCTGCATTCTCCATAGTAAATCTAAGCGTTCTCTTCAGTGCTTGCTGTTTGATAGACCTTTGCCATAACTATTGTTTTTCCCAAAGAGTCTCATGCTTTCTCCAACTTCTGCTTGTAATCTTACATTCGGTACAGTAAAAATAGAAGACACTGTGCAAAAAGTGAAAATTAAGAACCTTAATACATTTATCATAAAAGAAAATAATTTACTTTAAAATACTCAGCAAAATGCTATGGCAGACGTACAAATAAGGAATAAGCTCTGTGATTCTTCCTACTGAAGAATTTTTAAAATAATTTAGAAGCAAGTAGGGTTGTTTATAGGAGATGCTTATTATGTGAGTGTACAACATTGTTAGACATCTTTTTTTTCAGATTGTTTGGTTTTGCTCATTCTATTTTTGTCTGAGATTCATTTTTTCCCTATCACTTTTGCAGTTCTTCTATATAACCTGTTTTACCAGAATGCCTAAAAATAAGACAACCAATAATTCGACTTCATGTCTGCTCGTCTGCTTCGACTCTGTTGCTTGTGGAACTGAGCCTTCACATTTGCCTTCCCTTCATGGCAAAGGAACAGAACTGAACCACAGTGTAAAAACACATTAAATTGGTTTAAAAATATCCAGTGAATATTTAAAAGCAAACCAATATATCTGCATCATGTATGGCCAGATCTGTAGCTGAGCCACTGGAAAAACTTGTATCGAGATTGCAAGGTAGTGCCAGGAAAGTTTGCTTATAGAACTACAAGGAGTCCCATGGCACCTTAAAGACTTGCAAATGTATTATTTGTGAGATGCATCTGAGCTGCAGCCCATGAAAGCTTATGCCTTAATAAATTGTGAGTCTTTAAGATGCCAGAGGATGCCTCATTGTTTTTGTTGAAATAGACTAACAACTACCTCTCAGAAACTTACATGGAACTCATTATTAATGGCCATGATAATATTAATGATGAATGTTAAATGGGGAAGGCTTCACAATGATGATCAAGAGACCTGGCTCCAATTAGAGTGCCTCAGACTGGTTAAGAGAAACCAGTATTTTCGTTTTTGCAAACATTAGCACCTGCATATTAGACACATGTATTAGGCAGAAAAATAATCTATTATGTGCCCCTGTCAGACAGAGAACATAATTACACATGCACGTTTAGAGGTTAGACTGTGACCTTCATAGTTTTCTTTGTCCAGTAAATGCGAGTGCAGCTAACAGGTGGTAGGTCTATAGAACTAGTTGGAAAATATAATTCTCATTTCATTTGAAATGCCAACATTTAAAAAAAAAATTTCCATTCTCAATCAGAACAAAAAGTCACAATTTCAACATTTCTCATGGAATATCAAAATATTTCATTTCAATAATGTTGAATCATTTCATTTAAAAAACATTATAATGTTTTGTTTCACTTATGACAAAATGTTACAATACAGTATAAATTATATGTTTAAATTATATCATAAAAGTTGAAAAGAAGCAAAAATGTTGATATAATTTGTTGACTTTTTTTCTATGAAAAGTTCGATGCAATTTACATTTTTCCACAGTGTTTTGATTCAGATGAAAAGAGTTTCCATCTAACTTCTTTCTACAGGTTGAATCTCTCTAGTCTGGCACCCTTGGGACCTTACCAGTGCCAAACCAGAGAATTTTCCAGATCACAGGAGGTTAATATTGTCTAGAAGCATTACCAACACTTCCACTGTTTACGGTGTTCTTAGAAGACATTTAGAGGTAATTAGAGTTAAATGGCAGCATAGAACATTAAGAGGTAGGACTGGTGGCTATAAAACTTTATGGGACCATAGGAAACTTGGACACACCCAGGATAAGTGGACATCATGCTAACTAAAATCATACCGGACCACTGATATTGCCGGATCAGACTGTGCCAGACTAGAGAGGTTCAACCTGTAACGTTAGGGATTCCTTCCCCCTTTCACACAATTGTGATTCTCCATAGATTTTGTTTTTTTTAAATGTGAAGTATTATATTTCAATTTCACATGGACTTTACAATATAATGTATGCTCCATAAAGAGGAACATCCATAACATGGACTCTTAAAATGGCCTAGCGGGTGTTTTGATTGCAAGGCTGTTGTCTATACTGTGTGCTAAATACTTCTGCATTTATCCAGAAATTTAACTAACATAAAATATAAATAGGAAATCTGTCCTGATGCCCGGATAAAGTATTAAACCAGACAAATGAAGTCACTAAAACTAATCATTTCACTACAAAGTAAACATTTTCCAAAGTCTCCAAGTATATGACTTCTTTGTTTTGTAAATATGTTTACAAGTATATCCAAGTTGTACTAAATAGAAATGATTGTAGTACTTTATACTGAGATTGTCCTTCCTTGCATCTGGATTTATGCTTCATAATGATTATCTACTAGACACAGAAAGAGTATATCTGTAACTCAAAAATTTTACTGGAGGCATTTAACAGAACCTTGCTTTAAAATATAATGATTTTTCATCTTTATTCTCCCCCCTTCAAAAGGTTTCACTGCTCCTGATGTTTAACGTTATGCAAAGACGTGTTTCTGCCAATGAATATCGCCTTATGGTTATGCTTCTGCAAATAACCTGCTGTGAGCTGATAAAAGGATTAATGCAGCCAAAATTCTTAATCTGTGAAATTACAAATTAAATTCTCATATTAAAAATACCACCCTGAGGTATTTTTTGTGGTTTTAATTCCCCTCTGGTGTTCTGCATACATTGTGCTTGTTAATGACTAGGACAAGACTGTCTCTGTTGGCAGCCTGCTGCAGAGTGATAATGCGGAGGCATTTACTTCACTGATAGAACTGGATTTAACCACTGACTGATAAACTAAGTGGCAAGTGGGTAATAAGTCCATATTAACAGAAAACTACTACTACAGAATTCAGAATTCATAGACTGACAAAATCCTGGCTAGACTAAATTGTACAGTCAGACAGGATTGAGATATCACCAATGCAGAGTGATTTTTGTTTGCCATTTAGTAGAAAAAGGATAACTAAAGTGGCATGTCTCATGTCTGATTAGCCATGAACTAATGAATCTCTTTGCATCATACTTTCAGTAAAGACAGACTTCCTTACAGTCTCATTAGCTTAAGAATGGGTGCTCTGGAAGGAGGACTGATGTCTGGGTAGAGGGGTGAGAATGGTGGATCTAGTGTTAATATAGGAAAGGAAAATATATGAGCATTGCAGGTGAATTGGGGAATATAGCCAATTAGTGACGAGGATTTTTATCTCTGCATTAGTAGGGTACCTTGAGTACTCGTTTACAGAGCTGGCTCAATATGGAGACCAGTGCAGTTATCTGTTAGAAACTAGAACAACTAAAATTTTGAAGGAAAGTTGAATTACTAAAAAGTGAAGTAAACTCCTGTTGATTAAAGCCAAGTTTTTCCAACATTAATGTCCAAATCTCACATTTTATTGCTCAGATCACCGTGTTACATGATAATGTAATGATTTAAGTCTATAGATATTCAACTTGGACCTCATATTAAGGTTCTTTTGTTTGAAAACCATAAACAATTTCTATTGTTAGACTGCAAGAACACTTTTATCCATGTTGATTTAAATAAAAATCACAAATAAGGTTCCCATGTCAAACCTATTTATGATTAAAAAACCAGTCTCTGGATCAAAAATAACCCTATGTGGTATAAGCACGGTTTTGCCAGTATTCGTAGTAGTGACTTTCAGCATTCTGGGGGGAAAAAAAAACCCAAGGAAATCTGTGATATAAGTACTTCACAAATATTTAAAAAGGAGTTGACAGCATTTGTGCTAGATGGAACATTTTTGCCAAGAGAACCGGAATGTGTTTTGTTTAACAGAAGAAACAAAAGAGCTGTGTTTGAATACTGAAATCATTCTCAGCTAATAAAATGAAGTGCAAGTTTTCTTCTCATACATTTCAATTCAGCAAATTAACCAATTGTCTACTTTGTGTTCCTGAGTCTTCTGAATGCCAAGTCTCTTTTGTTATAACAGATACAGTGCATGAGAATCAAACATTGCTGGATTTTTATACTGTGTGCTGCAGCTAGTTAAAAAGTACTGTATGTTATGATGTGAAAAGCACTAAATATGTAAATTGTATTTTTTCCTCTTGCTTTATGACAATTCAGATAATTCTCTTGGCTGCACACATAATCAAATACAAAGATAGCTAGCTGCAGACTGCAGAGTAGAGATAGCAAAGGAGAATCCATTTTTTCTTGTGTCAAGCAAACTATGTAATTTGAACTACAGAATTTCACTCATATTATATATATACACACCCACACACCACATACCAATTTCATTGCTTTTATTCAACTCAGAGGTTGTGTCATACTCACTATCAGTTAGCTCCCATAGCCGTGGGGGCAGATCACTGAAATATTCGTGGCTCAGGGCTGCCTGTGCTGACAATCTGTTCTTTGGGAAACACTGAAGTAGTTTGGAGGCCAGATCCTCTGCATGATTCACATAGCTTAGCCTGAAACACAAGCACAAAGATGTAAAACAAACATACCTACATACAAGCTAGTTTCTCTCTCTACTACAGGTTGAGCCTTCCTGATCCAGAATCCTCAGGACCTGACTGGGGTCAAATGCCTAGCCATTGGCCCCAGGGGTCTTCTCCTCTCTCTTCAGGGGTACTGGACTTTCCTTCCACTTTAACTAGAGGAAATACCCGCAACTACAATTACCATTTTGCTTTTTCCTTCCCTATTTCATTTTAACACACTGTTAACTTGAGAACTGATACACCTAGAAACCAATGACTTATACCATCTAAATACATGAAATCCTAGCTTTTAAATGCCAAAAAATATCTCTGAAGTTTGCGAGACAGCAGCTATTAAAACCAAATCATATTTGTCATACTATATGTATATCATCTTACTTAGATTGTAAATTCTTTGGGGCAGAGCGAGAAGCAGGCAGACCAGGTGCCAGCTCATGCCAAGACCCCAGGTCTCACTTAAATACTGACAAATGCATAGCTGGAAATCAATCTTGCTTACCTGTGTGTTAGCAGTATCAAAATAGATATTCAAGTTATAAAAATGTATTTAGTGTTTAGACTACAGAAAATGCTTGTAAGGTGCTGCATATATTAATCCCTACTTATCACATATGTATGCCATGTTATAAGGTAATGTTTAAATGTTTGCTCTGCAACTGTAAAAATGTTTGCTAAAATTGTTAATTCCCCATAGTCATGTGAGAAGCTTAACCAAGTTAACCCCAAAAGGTGTTCTCTCCTGTCCCTCAGAAAGGCTATTCAACCCAAATTGGTCTTATGCTTTGTCGATTTTATGTGCATGAATGCTCATCTCATCAGCTTGGCTTTGGAAAAGGAGAAACTGGGTCTCTTTATGCTGTTTGAACTCTGAAGGGCAATGATTCCTAGATAAAGCAAGAGATCCCCAAGCTACTTTCGCTTGGATTATTCCCAAAGAGTATAAAAACTTGCTTGTCATAGAAGCTTCTATTAATGTTTGAATTTAAGATGGTTTCTCACGTGAGCATATGCTTATCTCCTTTAATCTTGTAAATAACTCATCTTTTTCCTTAAATAAGAAATCTTTACTTAGTTTATTGATGGACTATAGTAATACAAAAAGCTGCAAAAACCCACGGTGACCTCACATCCCCAATAACCAAATGTCTGTAAAGACAAACAGGGACATTCTAACTTATTAGAGCAGGGCTTTTCAAACTCTGGGTTGCGGCTTGTAAAAGCAAGCTGCTAGCTGGCCGCGAGACGTTTTGTTTACCTGCACCTCCGCAGATATGGGCAAGTGCAGCTCCCACTGTCCGTGGACTGCCATTCCTGGTCAATGGGAGGTGTGGGAAGTGATATGAATAGGAATAAGCAGGCCAAATATTCAAAGTGTTTGAAACAGCTCCTATTATCTGCCCATAAATGCCAAAACCTACAGCTTTTCATTCAGATTTATTTTAATAAGGCAGGAAACCTTATTAAAATAAAGGTTCAGTCTGGGATGGCACACAAGTGAGAAGCGAAAAAAAAAATCTCACTGATGAGACCCCGGACTGAGGAGAAAGATACTACCCACATTCTCCTCACACACCAGAGGCTGGGGGACCCAGGCTAGGAGATTTTGTATGCTCCAGCCCTGCAGTGGAGAGGCAGGGGGGCTGATGCAACAGCATGGGCTCCCCAATACTGGGGAGGAGCCCTGAGACTCAGCGGCTCAATCCAGGCAAACCGGGGGCCACATTTGGCCCTTGGGCCTTCGGTTCCCCACCCCTGCCTTAACAGAACTATGACATGAGGACAGTCAGTCTTTCCTCTTGTGTGTCTGAAGCTGATTTTCTGGAATATCATGCAAGAAGCAAGGTGACATATAAGAGAGTCCCTTTATTCTCAGGCTCTTATAATAGTGGCTTGAAGTTCAATAGTTTATAGTGGCCACATTTAGAAGTGACTAGATAGCTGAAAATCATATGCGGGTTACAATGAATTCGAGGTACATGAGACAGAAAAATCTGTGTGGCAGACTTCATAAAGTCTCCACTTAGGTCCACTCTTACCAGAGTTACAGTACAGTGTCCACTATGCTTATGAGAGCCACAAACATCACTTAAAGTTACTCGAACCAAAATGAAACATTCATTACAAGACGAAGCTCAAGTATTACTCTCTGGGGTGACTTTATACTTTCCCTTTAAGACTTCTGCGCACTAATAAACACAAGTAACTTATATATTTAAATTACGGGCTCATATATTGATAGTGATAAAAGTGTGATATTCACTGCATTTTGGATCTGTGAGCACTAAAGGAATTTTCCTCTAATAAGCCTCTCTGCTTCATTCTTGCAAACAATGACAGGTTTAACCTCTCTAGTACAGCACCCTTGGGACCTGACTGGTGCCGAACCAGAGAATTTGCTTAATCACAGGAGGTCAATACTGTCTAGCAGTATTACCAACACTTTCACTGCTTATTGGGCCCTTAGAAGACATTTAGGAGTGATTAGAGCTAAACAACAGCACCGAACACAGAGTCAGCACTAGTGGCTGTAAACAAATTGCGTGCAACCGTGGAAAACTTGACCACACTCATGATAAGTGGACATTCAGTTAATTAACATCATGCCTGATCACAGATGTTGCCAGACTTGAGAGTGCCAGAGTAGACAGGTTCAACCTGCAGGATACCCTTTCCAATTAATTGGAAAGAGTTGACAACCTCAGGCAATTAATCCCAGTTAATCATTATTTCAAAAAGTTCCCGGAAGGCTTATTTTTGTATTGCTATGACAGGGTAAATGTACACAAACTGTAAAAGGTAAATTTCAGTGTCATTTTGCTATATCCTTTCCCTTTTTCAGTTTGTGATGTAATATGGGAATCAGTGCCAGTCATTTACCACAGCCTACGCTTTACCAGAGGATTAATTCCAAGTTCCATTTTTATAGGTTGAACCTTCCTGGTGCCAGATAAGGGAATGCCAGATAAGGGAAGATCCCCTGCCACCTTCCCCTCAGCCCACCATCCCACCCCTCCGGCTGGCTCTTTTGCCCCTGCTGCTGGCCGGGTGACATGGCTGTCCTGGCCCCGCTGCCAGTGGTTTCATTGCTATAGGGAGCAGCTATAGACAAACCCTGGCCTGCTGGGATGCATGCAGTCGCGGCCCTGTTGCTGTGGTACCAGTCTCGCTGTTGGGCCAGCACAAAGCCCTGATCTGTCTGTAGGACCACCCCGATCCAGGTGGGTTGCCACGACCCCGTCTGGACTTCCCCTGGTGGGCTGTTGTGGCCCAATTGTTGCCGGACCAGAGAGTCCCAGTTTAAGGAGGTACAACCTATATTTGGCTTTTTATATCACTGAAGATCACCCATTAATTTCCACATCAAGCCCATTTCCTCTATTTGAGCTAGAACATACCTTTAAATATATGTAAAAAAAGTTCCATTTTTGTTTTTTTGTTTGTATTTTGGCTCAGCAGTGCAGAAATTCTTCTTCAGGAAATGTGTCTTTTGCAACTGTCTTTTATGGAGATTAGCTGGACATTGCAAAAGGAAATATGCATGTGAAATCTTGAAACTTGTTTAAAGCAACTCATCCTCCAAATTAAGAAAAATATACTGTATGTTCAGAGACTGTGAATACATCCACTACATGAGAACTTGTTGGTGCAACTAATTTAATACACAACTTTAATATCTTTTTACAAACATCGTCTTTTTAAAGTTCCCAAGAAATCAGTTAAATATTTATCTGATATACATTTCAGTCAGTATTCCTTAATATGGAGGGAGTTTGATTTTTCTGATTGGGCCCTGTATGTGCTATATAGTGTAGTAAAGTTTAAGAACCCTCTCCTCCCCCCACCCCCCCAAAAAAACCCAAAAAACATTTGGATTCCTAAATATACCTCTTTCTGTATGGTGATAGGGTGGAATTTCATACAATATGGCTTGGTAGCTAAAATATAATAGCATGTTTTTTGTCTCACAGCAGTTGGGCTATATAGTAACTTGGCATGCAAGATATGGCAAGTCTCAATATTCATGCTTCACTTACTGTCACACTAATCACTTTGGAATGGTTACTGGTCATGGCAGCATACATAATTTCAATAGAAAATGCTGCATACAGCAGAGAAGCCCTTAGTGCTGCCCCTTAATCTATAAGAAAGTGCTGGTACCAGCAGCAAGGGAATGGTTTTTAGAAAGAGCTAAATTGTCAATATTTACAAAAATACCTATTCCCTTAAAATAAAAGACCTAAGCATACACATGTCCTTAACGCAATAAAACAAGTGCCACTGTAGGTTATTTTACTTTAAAGTTATGAGTTGGACTAGAATTGAATAGCTGTAAATCTCACTGGATTATAAGAATTTGATTTAATTTCAGAAAATGGGTTTACATTTCTGTCTGTTGCAAAGGAAGGTCAGTACTTGGTCAAGCAGAACATGACTAGGATCACTGAAGTTTGGTTTAAGCTTTTGAGGGGAAAAACAAAAGATTCAAGCATGTGCAATGAACTTCTGAACTCAGGGTGCTTTGCTTGTTAAATGAAATGAAGAGTGGAGTTTAAATTCACATTAATAATTAAGACATGGGTATTTAAAAGAGAGATTAGTCCCGTCTATGCATTTTTGTCAGAAAATGAAGTGAATCCTTCCCCAAGGGAAACAGATTTTATTTTGTGTTTACATTTTCCAAATCAAACTGTAATTTGACAGTACAAGTCTCATGGCATACTTCTAATGTGTTTCTCTTAAGGCACTAACTCCCACAATCCCTTTGAAAATTCTAGATCTGTGTCCTTTTGAGTATACAAGAAAATACTATAATTATTATTTCATTATTCATATTGCACTAATGCTGAGAGGCCTCCACTGTTATCAAGGCTTCTTTGTGTGAGATCCTGTATAGAAGATACAGAAAGAGACAGCTATAGCAATCTAAACAGACAAGGAAAGAGAGTAAAGGTGTATTACCAACATTT